TGTGTGTGTGTGTGTGTGTGTGTGTGTGTGTGTGTGTGTGTGTGTGTAGGCACGTGCATGCAGGGGTTAGAGTGATCAATGTACACAAACACACAAACACATACAGTATTCATTAGCAAAAAACTGAACTCGTATATGAACCAGATTATCCTTCCTGCTCCCGAACTTGTTGTGATTGGTCAGGAGTTCCGTTTCCACGACATCACTGTGTGTGTGTTTGCGTGTGTGTGTGAGATTGTGTGCGAGTGTGTGTAGCTGGTTGGTTTGTTGCCTGTACAGCAACTCTCTCAAGCCACTGGCATTATGTTATATTTAAAGTTTTATGTGTAAGCCACACATTTTCTCTTTTTGCTGGGAAAGCACCTTTGGAGCCTCAGTTCAGTTTTACTAAATATAAAATGTGATGCCACTACTGTAGTTAGCTCACACTTTCTGGTCTATATTACTCTCAAGGCTCTCAGCCTCAATAGAAATCACATTGAGCATGTAATAATAATAAAAAATCGATACACAAACTAAAAGCTAATGTGCTTTTATGAGCAAGGCCCCTTGTGGACAATCTTGTCAAGACACTGGTGATGCATAGTTAATTTCCCTTTGCTTCTGCAACATTATGTTTCCTAAGCAATGCACAGTTTAAGTATGCATTCATGTCACGACTACTTTCAAACTATTATCAAAGAGGAAAATGGTGCCTAGGTGTTGTATCATTCCGTGTTTGTATTGGTAGAGTTGTAAAACCTTTGTTCCAACAGCCTCCCCTTTATGTGTGTGTGCATTTGAATGTGCAGAGGTGTGTGTTTGTGTGTGTGTGTGTGTGTGTGTGTTTGAGCTGCAAGTGGTGTCGAGCTGAATCTCACCTGGGTCTGACCCAACTAGGTCACGTCCAGCCAGGCTTATGTGTCACATGGGTAATCATCTGATATTTGTGAGTACGCTCTCATTAGAGAAGTGGCCCAGAATGACAAGTTGAGTGTGATAGTTGCTTAACCAGCGAGGAACAACAGTTATAATATTCCCAGGCATCACAGCACATGTTGCATCTTTCCCTGCCTTTTGCTGCGTCTCTGTGGCTGCCTCTCCTTCCGTCTTCCTCCCTGTATTTAACAGGACGCATCCTGTCTTCTCCTCTCTGTTGGTGCTGTTTCCACGTCTTTAGTACCTAGATTTCTGTCATGTTTGAGTTGGTAGGACAGCGCTTTTCAGTTTGTGTGTGTGCATGTGTGTGTGTGTGTGTGTGTGTGTGTGTGTGTGTGTGTGTGTGTGT